TTTTTAACCATAAAATTTATTCCAGTTGTTTAAAAAAATGGAGAGACGACCCAGAAATACCAAAATCTAAACTTTTCTCGTGTATTTTCTGGCAGAAAATTGACAAAGTCCAATTGTACAGGGCCTTAAAGCTTGGCTTTAAGTAATGATTTAAAAACCTACCAGTGTCCCGTTAGCTACATTGGTTTGTCGCAGGATTCGAGCCAAATCGTAGCAGCATTTTAGGTTCGAATACAGGGATTTTTTAAATTTTATTATTTTTTTCTTTTTGCTTTAAAATTTTGATTTGGAGTAAAATTAATTAAAAAGAAATTACTTCTTGAATCAAGTTTCAAAGTATGTTTTATGAATTAATTTATATTGTTTTATTTTTCAATGCGTTCACATTTTGTCATGTATAGTGCTAATGTTCCCAAATAGAAACTAGAGGTACTGTGAGCGATGAGCTCACTAAATGATACCCCCCGCCTCCATACAGTTGTAATTGCAAAGTACGTGTTTTGCTGTGGCCGGGAAACCCAAAATATGTGTCGGATCAAAAAGTTAATAGGAGGTGCACAATGGTGTTATGTAATAAAGATTCTGTGAAAGTTTCATCAAATTTCATTCAATGGTATGAGAGGAGTTGCAGATAAGAGATGGGTACCCCAAAGCGTAACAGACGGACGGACGGATGTACAGACGGACGGAAAATTTTAACGATTACTATATACCCTCCCGCTTTTCAAGCGGGGGTATAACTAGAGGTACTGTGAGCGATGAGCTCACTAAATGATACCCCGCCTCCATACAGTTATAATTGCAAAGTCCATGTTTTGCTGTGGCCGGGAAACCCAAAATATGTGTCGGATCAAAAAGTTAAATAGGAGGTCACAATGGCGTTATGTAATAAAGATTCTGTGAAAGTTTCATCAAATTTCATTCAGTGGTATGAGAGGAGTTGCAAATAAGAGATGGGTACCCTAAAGCGTAACAGACGGACGGAAAATTTTAACGATTACTAATTTACTATATAGGCCTAATGTGTAAAGAGGAATAACTCGTCCTATCAAATGTTATCCAGAAGCTTCTGTATGTGACGTCATATAGGTAAACATATAATGGCAATGTCCATGTTTTGCTATGGGAAACTTAAAATACGTTTCGAACAAAAAGGTAAAATAGGAGGTGCACAATGGCAATATGTAATAAAGATTCTGTGAAAGTTTCATTAAATTTCACTCAGTAGTATAAGAGGAGTTGCGGATAAGAGATAAAGCGTAACAGACGAACGGACGGACGTACAGACGGGCGGAAATACCGATCACTATATACCCTCCCACTTTTCAAGCGGGGGGTGTAAAACTGAGCAACTTCGATCGTTCTGTTACATTCAATAATATTTTAAGTGCATTTGAAAACTGAGCACAAAATTATTTAGTGTTAGACCTCTATTTTATAAAATTTTATGAAATGTATCCAGAGTAGATATTTTATCTTTCATGACACCTTTAAATTGAAAAAAAACTAGAGGTACTGTGAGCAATGAGATCACTAAATGATACCCCCCGCCTCCCATATGAATAAAATGGCAGTGTCCATGTTTTGCTCTGGAAAATCAAAAATATATGTCAGATCAAAAAGTAAGATAGGAGGTGCACAATGGCAATATGTAATTAAGAATCTGGGAAACTTTTATTAAATCTCCTTCAGTGGTATGAGAGTAGTTAGAATAATCTAACTGTGTCTCAGTACAAGCCCTCACAAACCGGGTCCGTAGGACAATATCATTTTAACGATAGAACATTCTATCTAGTATGAGAGGAGTTGCGAATAAGAGATGGGTACCCCAAAGAGTAACAGACGGACGGACGGAAATACCGAGTACTATATACCCTCCCACTTTTCGAAGGGGTATAAATATTCACAAACAGACATAAGATGGAAATGATGTAAATAACATGGTGCTTGGACATTTAAATCTGAATTGTTTCGTGTCAATGATTCCTGTCGACTGCCTATTTAGTGCGCCCACTTTCTTTTGTCCTATGCTCGACAATCAGGGCCATTGAGCAGAAAAGGATTTTTTTCATGCCAGCACCTAGCTACTGCCACACGGGATCTCGGTTTATACGGTCACATCCGAAGGACCGGTGTCATATAGTGAGACTTCCGCCATAGTGAGACTTCCCCCCGGAAGTCTGGCTATATAGTGAGTCTTCCCCCCATAATGACCATAGTGAGTCTTCCCCCTTCGGTTTTCGGTTTGGATTTTATATACATTGACATAATTAAATATTTATTGTATGCTTTAGGGACCTTTTATAAATTTGTGAAGTATTTTTAGGATTTTTTAGGATTTGTATTTCATTTTGAAATTAAATTTGCGTGATATTAATGAAATTACATCACTATAAAATCAAATAAGATGGATTTGAGTTCTAATACACTTTAAATCAAATTCTGACTGTCATGCATATTTTAGCAAAGGCACCGGATGCATGGATTGGGCTTAACCCCCTCCCTTTTTTTTTTTTAATTTATGACCAGAAAAATTGTATGAAAATCTGAGATTTATGTGCTGTAGTGTAAATTTTTGTTGAACCACTGATCTATGAATTAAGTCTTTGATATTGTAAACGTCCCTGTGGATAAACTCCGATAAAGTAAATGAAATATTTTCCCATCAATTTTACATTTCAGCATATCTATTAAATGATGCTTAAAATTATCTTTAAAGTAGATTTAAACTTTATGTACATGAAACTTTCGATAAATATAGTTAGGAACTACGAAAATCATAATTGAGATTTGGGATGCATGTTTTATTTTTCACATTTGAGCACAATTATTTTATTTCTCGCATAGTCTTAAAGTACTATAGATTTTTCTTCTTTTCGCTACATTTTTTATTAAATCGATTGAACCATATGTAATGTGTAAATAGCTAATGTTTGTACACAAACAGAAAAACAAACAAACAAAACTATGCTATCAATTTTTTTTTTATTCAAATGCTGAAAACAATCAGAATATTTCATATAAGTGACTCGTGAACCAATAAAATTATTCGTTATCAATACATGTAAAGGAAAGGGTATACATATAATATATATTATATCATCTCAATGTACATGCATATGTTATGATGGATATCAAACAGTTAAAACATAACGATATTCAAACTGTTCATGCATATAAAATAAATATATAAATACATGTATATATATGGAAGATAATTTCGTCATAAATTAACACTGTTAGAATTTTTTTAAATAATAAAACAATGTTCCGGAAACTATAATAAGAGGGGGAAGTCTCGCTATGAATGGGGGAAGGCTGGCTATAAAGTGAGCCTTCCCCCCGGAAGAACGGCTATATAGTGAAACTTCCGTGGGGGAAGTCTCACTATATATAGCCATTCTTCCGGGGGGGAAGGCTCACTATATAGCCAGCCTTCCGGGGGGAAGACTCACTATATAGTGAGCCTTCCGGGGGAAGCCTCACTATGGGGGAAGTCTCACTATACGACACCGGTCTCCACGTCCCACAGTGGGAATCGAACCGAGTGCACCACGTAACAATCAACTCCTTATTTCGCTCTAACCACTGCGTCACGCGGGCGACCGCGAAGTATACAAGTCAAAATAAGGGATCCAGTAGGGTCAGTCAATTAACTTCGGGCTTTCCGACTAGCGGAAAAAAACCTCGAATGTATTTACGTAAACGCTCTTTTCAAAAACTTTGAAATAATTATGGAGAGACCTCTTCTCTTTTCTGTGGAGTATGGAGTTTAAGACATATATATTTTTTTAATTTTTATCACAGGCCCTTGACGATTTTTACTTTTCTTTTCATCAATAAAAATATCCCCTATACTTATAGTATAGGAACCCGGAATATTTTTATTTATAAAAGAAAGGTGAAAAACCTCAAGCGCCTGTGATTTTAACCGGGACGTCGACACTGATGCCGTTCATGTAGACCTCGTCAAGGCGAGCTAAAAAAGAGCATAATGAGTTGTGTTACATGTACATTATCACATGCATGGGATATCCCAATTATCGATCTATTTAAATCCTTTATATAACGTCAATGTTCTGTCCTTCTAATTTAGACATATTTAAAGAATTGTTCTGCACATTAGGAACTAAAGTAGTTAAAATGTTTGTTCATTTGGAAATATCAGATATACAAAGATGACGAATGAGTAGCCAAATACAAGCAATTTTTCATAGCTGCTGAGTAGAAAGATTTCGTAAGGACTGAATTCAAGAGGACCGTCTTACAATATCGAAAAAATATACTTGCTCGCTACTGACTTAGTATTTCTCGGACAGGACATTTAAAATAGAACTGAAAAAAATTCACAGGTGGTTTTCCGGTAAATTGGAAGCCGGCCCTCTCCTTTGATTATAAAAATTTGTGTAACAGAATCTACATGTATATGATAAATATAAAAGTTAAAACTTTCCTTGAATGATCAACTGAAATAATCACTGCAATATATTAAATTTGGTAAAAAAAAAAGGTGGGGCTCTTAAATTAATTTATTTTAATTTTCATTGTCGTGTGACTATTGAAGAAAAAGAAAACAATAGGTACTGTGAGCAATGAGATCACTGAATGATATTCTCCGTCTCCCATATGAATATAATGGCAGTGTTCATGTTTTGCCGTGTGAAACCCAAAATATGTGTCGGATCAAAAAGTAAAATGGGAGGTGCACAAAGGCAATATGTAATAAAGATTCTGTGAAAGTTTTATCATTTCATTCTGTGGTATAAGTTTCTGTAATCTACAAGTGCCCCCCCCCCCCCCGCCCCTTACACACACATAAGAAAAAACCTCTGGATCCATGATATCAAATTGCTGATTTGTTGGATTTTTTGTTTTAAAGAAAAACAAGGCGCGTCCTGGGATTTTTATAATTAAAAAAACAAGGTTATAGAGCAAAAAAAAAAAAAGGTAATGCAGAATCTTCATAATAACATCGGGCTCGATATTTAAAAAATGCTAAAGTTTTCGCGGAAATTCGAATTTCCTTTGCTGGGCCCTGCCGAAATGATGTGATGAGGACTAAAAATGTCTCTATCTACACAGCATGATGACAGTGACAGTCATTATGTATTGCTGGCAAAGTTGGACAACGCAAGGAATGTTTCAAATATACTGAAAGCAATCCATTTCAAAGAGGTAGACCTATTTATTTAAAAAATGAGTAGAGTTCAGAACACAGTCACACTCAAACTCACAGGGTCAATTTTACCCGCCTTATTCTCTATTACACGTTTATTAAATACACTGGTAGTTATTTTATTATGAAATAAGTATAGTAGATAATACAGAGATCTCTGTGGGTTTCCGACGATGTTATAACCCTTATTTTTTTTTTTTTATTCTTAGTTTTCTGACACAATAATATTCAAAATTGGATATGTTGATTCTCTTTGAAGACGGCAACAGTTTTTGCAAGTTCCCTTGGGATCAAGGTTACAGTGGAGGATTCCAAATGTGTCCAGGCCAATGCCTTTATCCAGGAGGGAGTGTTCCATCATTTCAGTGTTAAAGATGAGCAGATCACGTTCAAAATCAACCTGACTGTTCTTCTGGTAATAATTATTCATCCAGTTTCCTAATTTTATGATAACCATAGTTTTCATAATTTTTCAAGTGTTCATTGTAATTTTCACAAGTTTATGAATGATTTTAGGAATGCCTGACAATATTTGGGAGCACCTCTTTGCCAGGGATTACTACCAGTCTTAAAATGTGTTATGCTGGCTATGGATGTCCCTTGGTTCTAGTGTAAGTCATGTCTCTGTCTAGTCTACACATGATTTATGTTCATATAATTTAGTCCATTTCTTCATCTAAATTGGTTTGTTCAAAGATAAATTGTTCCTTTTTAAGCTAACAAGATTTAAGAAGAAAATTGGTATGTGGAATATATTTTTCTTTTGATAAGTTTTATTATATTAGAGACTTAAATGATTTTGAAATTTTCCTTTAGTCTTGAAGAGGAAGGTGTGCTTACAGACTGTACAATAAAAACCCTGGAACCAGATGAAGTTCTGGACTTCAACTTTTGTAGTTCAAATGTGATTAACAAAATTATCATGAAAGTAAGTCATGAATAAACATGATAAATTTACTTCATTCTTTGATACTACAATTTGAAGAAGAAAACAAAATTGTCATTTCTTTCTTTCTTTCTTTTTTATTTGGTCACTGTGATTAACTTGTCTTCAACACATTTTATTGTGGTATTAGTAATTTAGTCGCATTTATTTTCGTTTGAGGTGAAATGAATTTTGTTGATGCAGATTTTCAGTCTTTTGTTTTGTTTATTTTGTTTACAGTCAGAATGTCTGAAGGAAGCCTTCAGTGAGCTGGACATGACCAGTGATATATTACAGATTCTAATGTCCCCGGATCAGCCCTATTTTAGACTGTCAACATTTGGTAATGCTGGCAGCACACATGTAAGTATCTAGGTTATATTTTGATATTCTCTTCTTTTTACTTTCATTTTCAATCAATCAGATTTTTAGATTTATATGGTTTGGAAAGAAAATTACACTTTAGGTAATGACAAGTAATGAACTGGAACCAGACATTAATATCTTTACATAAATTTTTGACAAATTTAAGTTAGACTAAATGCACAATATTAATCTGCCAAAAAAATTGTATATATTAAGGAGCTAAATCATTGGATGTATATTCTTCTTTTGTTATATTCAATTTTAGTCTGACTTTCCTAAAGACTCGGATATGGTGGAGTCCTTTCTATGCACTCAGACACAGACCAACAGGTAGAAAAAACTGCTAATCTGTACAGACATCATATCTTTGTTAGGTATTCAAATCATCTCCAAAAGATAATAAATAAATAAAAAAAATTTAAATTTGTGAATCTGCAATTCCATTATGCACACAATAGGGTGATACAATGTATGTTCTGTAATTCTTTCCTTTTATGTTTAAGGTTAAAAGTTGATTTTTTTTCCCTCAAAATTCTTGAAAAAGAACATATTTGGTTAAAATAAAAAAAAAACCCAAATATCCCTTTCAGATACAAAATATCCCTCCTGAAGCCCTCCGTGAAAGCTCTAGCCTTGTCCACCCGAGTGTCGATACGGACAGATAATCGAGGCTTCCTGTCTCTACAGTACATGATTAAAAACGAGGACGGACAAGTGTGCTTTGTGGAATACTATGTAAGTTGCATCCCATTCTATCTTGTAGTTGTTTTCATCTATACTTAAAAATGATTTTTTGAAAATTACTCAAATTGAAAAACAGATATTACTGCATACAAGGAAATTTTCATCCCCATTTTATTTTTGTCCCTTTCACTATACTCTTGGACATATTAAAAATGGGACAAATTCAAAGAAAACAGTAAAAAAAATTTTAACAGAACTGTATCTTGGCGAATTTTAAATGGTGCAAAACCATTTGCAAATGTGAAAGGGTGCAGCTAAGATGAGTTGAAAATAAGCCTATATATACCTCTAAATACAAGTAAGACCTTTGTGTTTTTCAGTGTGCTCCAGATGAGGACATAGACGAGGAAGAGGACTAGTTTATTTATTTGTTGAAAGACCTAAGTTTGTTCTCAGGTTTATGAATAGAATGATTCAGAAGATTTAATAAGTTTTAAAGTTATGAATCTAGCTATGTGAAATAGTGTTATATGCTGTACTAGAAATTCATATCAAGTTGTAAAGAAGGATGTATATGTCATACATTGTTCATCATATTTATTCTATTTTTACAGGATTTTTAATGTACGATTGTGAACAGAATCTGTTTTCTCTGCTTACGTAAATTTGTCATACTATCTTTTTCTTGACTTTTCCTTTAAAACAAAAATACATATTTCCAATGCATTGTGACTTTTTGGAGAAATTAACTGGTTCTAAATGAAAAGTTATTTAAGGAATTATAGCAGTCTGATTTTCTGTTTTTATGATGTGATCAAGCAAGGCGTTTATGAATAAAACTGTTGCAAAAGCCTTTATCTTCATCTTCAATATATAACAAAAAATTGCAATATTAATATTTGCTATAATTACATGGTCGTGATTTCATGAAGTCTTAAATCATTATACTCTTCAATGCATTGTCAATTTATGGACAAATTTTTGTCAGATAAAATAAAAAATAAAACTAATTTTTTTCTTAATTTGATTTCTACATAAACTTATTAATTCACCAATAGACAATGTTTAAAAAAGAGATGTTCACAATAGGAGAGACTGAAAGAAGTGGAAGGGGCTTTCATCAAGCTCTTGAATTTATGAAATATAAATTTAAGGAATACTAGTATCTGTCTAGATGCTTTTGGTTTGATGATGTGATCAAGCGATTGGTTGCGTGATAATTCATGCCTTTGGCGTTCATGCAAACCATCAAGAAAACCAACTGCTTGATCACATCATTAAACAAAAAAAATCTAGACAGTTATTTCAGAATTAGAAAGGTGTTTAACATGTTGCAACCGTCTTTAATTAACTTATTTACAGAGGAAGTTGCATTTTCTATTGTATACATAAATATTGAGAATATATAATGAGGGTTTTGAACAAAAAAAAATCGAATGAGATTATTATGAAGTTATCATGTGTCAGCGGTGAATAACCGCATAAAAAGACTTTGTGTTGTATTTTTCTTTATTTCAATATTTTCAAGATCGAAGAAAATAAACTTTGGTAAACAAGCAGATATAAGTGTAAAAATGTTTAAATGACAGACATGTCCAATGCCATCATTTTTATCCAGAGTGGAAATTCACGGGTTATTTCCGGCGATATTGTTATAGGTGGAGAGAGCCAGCATACTAGTGACATAGGTGTAAGATTCGGAACACCAGAATGGGAAGTAGGAGGGGTCGCTGTTGTAACCATGGAAAATAGTAGGAGTTTTAAGAGACTTCAGCTGCTGGTCATACCAGGATTCGTCGGCCACGCCCTCCATTCCACGAATTCGAATTTTAGTTCCGTTGACGTGATCGTTACGATTCGCTGGATATTGAGACCAAGATGTCTGCAAATGAACATTTAGTACAAACTGTAAAAACTGTTATTCTGCTGTAAGAATTTAGAAAGGTGCAAGAAACTTACTCCAAATCCTTTAAAAGATCCAGAGAAGAACATATTCCAAGGTTTGTACTCCTCACCGAGAATATAGGTATTCAGAAAGTTAACAGAAGCTGCTACAACCTTCTTGACATCAGATGGGGTATCTGCAAATAATGAAAGTTTACTTAAAGTCTAGTTACACGTTATCACTTCTTTTTCCCCCAAAAAAAGATTGTTAACTTTTTACTTTCATCCCAATGAAGATGACCAGTTTTGTCGTTGTAGTAGGTCCAAGTCGTAATCAGCGCATTAATTGCCATTGAAGTGGTAAAAAGTCTGTCTTCGCCATATTTCTGGAGAGTAAGCGAAATCTCACATTATGCCAAGGAAAGAACTTGAAAATAAAAAAGATGGTTAACAACTAGAAAAGTCACGAATACCACTGGATTTCCATC